CAGAGTTGCCTGGTGGCGGGGAAAACCCCCTCCCATTGGAATCTGGTGTCAGAGTCAGAAATATAAGTGGCATTTGTTTTATTTCATACATTTCACGTTTATCTGTTCCGTCACCCCATCACTACAGGTCTCGTTATTGCCATACGCAGCGTTAGAGGAAGACGCTGGCCCAGAGAGAGGGAAGCAGAGCATAGTTGGCTGTGCGGAGGCCGTGAGATGGGCAGGGACAGGCAGCCAGTGTGTGTGCGGGAGGGGGAATGGGGGGCCGGGGGGCCAGCGAGTAAGAAACCTCAAGAAAAGACGGGGCGGGAGGGGGTGAAAATACCAGTGCGCGGAGCAGTTTTCCCAAAGTCACCATGGAAACTGCAGATCCCCATCAGCTCATTTTAGGGATTTACCTCAACTATCGTGAGTGTCAATCACGCTTTGACGTGCGAGGACGAAGGAACCCAGCTGGTAACCCCAGTGCTCCCCCGAGGAAAGGCTATCACCCACCGAGTCCGAGCGCGGCACCCGCTGGGTGTCTCCTGGGCACGGCCTCCCGCTTCTCCAAATCGGGTTGAAGAGAATTTAAACTCTTCATACAAACCACACACAGAAGTAAACGCCCATCTAACCGACCTCGGAACAGACAGGTGGACGGTCATTCATCCCCAGCTGCGCGGAATGCCGTCAGACTGCCGAGCCCAGCCCAGCCGCTCAGCCCCGCGGGCACGGCCCCGCTGCCCATCGATGCCACTGACCGCAAGGCCCAGGACACGTTTTCTTAAGGCGACGGCCCCCAGTTCCTAGCCCGTTAATTAATTGTTGATTTGTTAACCCTCACCCGAGGATATTTTTCCATTGATTTTTAGAGAGAGTGGAAGAGAGAGGGGAAGACAGAAACATCGATGTGAGAGGGACACATGGATTGGTTGCCTCCTGCACGCGCCCGACTAGGGCCCAGGCCGGGGAGGAGCCTGCAACCGAGGTTCATGCCCTTGACCGGAATTGAACCCGGGACCTTCGGTCCGCAGACCGATGCTCTACCCACTGAGCACCACCGGCCGGGGATCCTTCAAGGCTTTTTAATGTGTGTTTTCAAATCTAAAGGCCGTTCTCCCTCCAGGGTCTGAGCAGTGGGATCGGATGGACAGAATGGGAGCTGGAACCTTCCGTTACGCGTCGGCTCAGATTTGAAAACGCATTATTTATCAGGGTCGTTACAATCTGTCTTATTGGGTTACAGCCATTTGACCTTTACAGACGAGTTGGTTCATTTCTGTATAAATGAATCAGCCACAACCCAGGATTCATCTTATTACGTAACTTTGTTAAAGAATCAACTCATTTCCCCTCCTCTCGTTTCTAGTTTTTGTCTGAAACATGGAAATGAGCAACGGCGAAGTTCGGGACCAGAACGTCACCTCCATGCGTCATGGACGCCCCTCCCGGATCCAACCCAGACGACATGAGCAGAGGGCACAGAGCAAACGCCGACTGGATCCTCGTCGTCGCCGCGGACACGCACAGGCCTCCAGACCCGAAGGGCTAGTGGCTGTGGCCACGGGCGCTCACGGGCGAGAGGCGAGTTCACCGTGGTCACGGCTCAGCTGGTGGCGAGCTGACCTGGGTCCCACGTTTCCACGTGAAGTAGGTGTGTCAGCAGGAAGGCATGACCCAGGCCAGGCCGCCGCCGCCTGACCTAGCGCAGATCGAAGCGCATTAAACCGGCCCTGGCCAGTGTGGCTCAGTGGATAGAGCGTCGGCCTGCAGCCCAAAGGGTCCCGGGTTCGATTCTGGTCAGGCTCATGCAGGAGGCAACCAATGGATGTGTTTCTCTCACATCGCTGTTTCTCTCTGTCTTTCCCTCTCTGCCACTCTCTCTAAAATCAATGGGCAAATATCCTCGGGGGAGGATTAACAAACCAACAAGAATACATTACACTGGAGGCAGCGCTCCGACCACCCGCGGGTCGAGGAGGCTGAGCTCGAGGCCCTTGTGACAAGGCTGCCACCTGAGCAGCCCCGAGTCATGGTGAGACGCTGGGGGTCGCGCCCCGAGTCACAGTGAGACGCTGGGGTCGTGTGCGTCTCCTACGGGCCTCTCTCTGAACCAGCGACACCATCTTGCAATCTCAACTTCGATAACAAAAACCCACTTCTCCCTTTTATTTATTTTTTAATTTTTTGTTTCTTCTGCCCCTGATGCGGGAAGGAGGCGCGGCCCCTGCGTCTGGAGAAAGGCAGGTCTGCCAGGTGACCACGCCGTCCACAGGGCTGGTCCGCATGGGGCCCACGCCAGCTCGGTGCTGACCCGGGACCTGCTGCCCTCCCAGCGACCCCGTGAGGCGCGGGCGTGCCAGTTTCCACGGAGGTGCCTTAGAGCCTCACTCCCCTGGTTGAGACGCCTCTGCTGCGAGTCCCATGATTGCACTCAGAGCCCCTCCCTTCCAGGACACGACGCCTGGGAGCGGGGAGCTGTGTGGTTCTTGGGTCTTTCCAAGAAAACACTCAGATTAGAAAGAGGGGAGGAAGCTCCCAGCAGCTCCCAGCTGTCTCTCCCCGGGGGTGGCGCTCGCACTTTCCCAGTGAAGGGGCCCTGCCGTCCCAGGACCAGACCTCGAGTGCGTGGAGGGCCAGCCTGCGCCGGCGCGAGGGCCTGAGGGTGAGAAAGGTGTACGCTCCTGTGTTGACTTGTTAGCAGCTTGGTTTGGGCAATTCTATTCTGATTTTTTAAAAAATATATTTGTATTGATTTCAGAGAGGAAGGGAGAAGGAGAGAGAGAGAGAAACATCAATGATGAGAGAGAATCATGGATCAGCTGCCTCCTGCACGCCCCACACTGGGGATGGAGCCTGCAACCCAGGCCTGTGCCCTGACCAGGACTCGAACCCTGACCTCCTGGTTCACAGGTCGATGTTCAACCACTGAGCCACCCGGCTGGGCAATTCTGATTTATTCTTTGTGAACAGACCCATTCCTGCCTCTGGGCACACGGTCGGTCCATCAGCACAACCTGGAGCCTAAAAGGAGACCAACTTCCACCTTTTCAGACACACGTCCAGCTGGGACCCATGACATCGAGTTACAGCGAATCAGGTGCGGGAGCGAACCTCCACACGCGGCCAGTGCCGGGCCTTGGAGTGGGCGCCCTCAGCAAACAGCACATTTACGTCACGCAGAACGGAGGCTCTCAGGGGAGGATGTGGGTCCGAGGGCGGGACTCGCAAAGGCGCCACCTAAGAGCCTGCAGACAGTCCGTCCTGTCAGGCTCCGCGCCCTCCTGAGGCTCCCTGGCCACCTCGTCTGGCGGACACGTCCCTTCACCAGGAGGGACCTGCTGGGGGAAGCGCCTTCCGCTGTCGGGCGGCTCAGCGTGGGCGCCTCCAGCCCGGCTGCCGACTGGCCCTGTGTCCTCGTCCATCACTTACCCCTGCGTCCGGCGGGGGCGGGACCTGCCTGCATCTTGGCGGCTTCGAGTTTAAGTTCACCCTTAATTTCCTACCTTTTCACGAGGGGCCCCCCACCATTTCAGGCAAAAGGGGGCGGGATGTGTGTTGCAGCAACACTATCCGGGGCCACAGCTCTCCTGGCCACGAGCCGGTCCAGCCCTCCCACCAGACTCTGCCTGTCGGCTCTCAGGGCAGGCGGGAACCTCGCCGGAGATTTCCGAGGTAACAAAGTGCCTCCTTCTCCCAAATACGATTTAAAACACGCGGGAAAGAAACAAACAAAACCAGACAGAAAACCCAGGGCCCCCCAGGGAGCCGAACGGCTTCTTGTCGTGGTGACCTCGCCAGTAATTTCGTACGAAACCCAATTCTGCCACGTGTTTGAGAGGAGCCGGTTCGGGGATCTGCAGACATCCCCACAGGGAACCCCACGCGAGAGCAGCCTCCAGAGGACAGAAACGCCAGGGCGATTTGTTTCTCGCCAGTGTTAGAGGCAGATTCCCAATTGGCAGCATTTATGGGTGTTTCTGGTCCTGGGTCAGCACCTCCTGGGTCAGAACCAGCAGGGCCCAGGGAAGGGCAGGCATTGGGGACAGTATTTGGTTATTACGTTAAAGGACGGAGTCTCCCCTCCTCCCATCGACCTCCCCGCCTCCGGCATTCGCCCAGAGGCCAGCAAACCAGGCGCTGGGGCCACGAACAACTGCACCCACTGCAGGAGGAGCTGGACCCTTCCTTTAAAAGATGAGCCCAGTCCGCGAACCCTAAAGAACCACAGTCCTTTCCAACTCCACCCACAACTGAGGGAAACGCACCACTTCTAATCAGTATGCAAATTTAAAGTCTTCCATTTAAAAGGGACTCTTTCAAACCTTTCATCAAATGCAAAATCTCTAATCGTTTTCAGGAAAGCAAAACAGCGCAGGCTGACGAAGCCCAGACCCTGTGTGCGCCGTGATTGCTTCCAGAACCGAACGCTCCAGCTGTCTCGGCACAGAGGGGAGATCTTTAGGGAAAAGAAAAAAGAAAGAATCGAGCCACAGTCCCCCTCCTGCGTGGGACCCCCTGCCCCAGGGCACTGTGCCCGCTGAGCCCGGCCTCCTGTCTCTCACAGAAGAGGGGAGCGGGGGAGGGCAGGGGGCACAGGGGAGGTGCCTGTGCAGCAGGTGACTCCACCTCTGTCCTCAGCTGGAGTCTGAGAGGAGGGCCCAGAGCAGCGGGTCCCAGGGCAGCGGGTCCCAGAGCAGCGGGTCCCAGAGCAGCGGGTCCCAGAGCAGCG